ATAACGATTCGGTATTGTACATAAATCATTTTTTGTACATAACATATTTCTAACATTTTATTTCTTGTACAGTGTTTTGTATTTGACAGCATTAAATAAATATAGATTAAAAATAACTATTTCTTTGTGTAAAAACTTTTTTGCATATCACGCATTTCGTGCATTCTCTTTAATTGATTTTTGTTAAGGCACAGCCTAATTATTTTATAAAAAAAAGTTCGTGGCTATATGTATATATATATAATAATAATTATGATAAATCTTTGTTCATAATAGTTATGGATAAGACGAACAAGACATAGAAGAATTAGAAGGTAAGAGATTGAAGATGCAAGATTACCTGAACGAAGATACTAGGACCGATACACAAAGCGTCACGTTGTACATCGGCGATGGGGAGGCGCTTGTGGTACCGCCACGCTGTCAAAATAAACGGCACTATCGCGATTTATCTCGTTTCCCATGATAATAAGAGATAAAACTGCATCCTTACATTAGCTAGTATATCAGCTAAAATGATAATTTCAGTCGTCGGATTCGCCAGGAGCGCGTAGGGCCGCTCCTACTCTCTTGAGTCGCGCCGATCTATGGATTTCCCCGAATAAATCTCTTCGGGGATTCACAAAAATGAGCTAGTAAGCTTATTTTAACCCGAAGTGCATTGTGTGAGATCGGTTATCACAAATAAGTATAACTCAAAAAAAATACAGCGGAAAATATCGTTTGATTTCGTGTTTATCTTATGACTACCTAAAAGAAATTCTGAAGTGTTATCTAACGAAAGTGTGAGCAATTCTTGAAATAAATTGTTCGCAGATTTTCATCTGAGAAAGCTATTTGATGTGTATGAGGGGAAAATTTACAGATTTACGATCAAAGTGAGTAATTCATGAAGCACACAAATGTGAATGGGTATTTAGTCTCATAAAAAAGAACGCGGAAAATTGTCAGCAATTCTGCAAGTGATGACATAAATGAAATATGTGCGCGTTGAGAATTGTTGCATTATGCTTGGAAATTAATACGTCACGAATTTTCGTATTTTTCCAAGGCAAACACGATGGAAATAAAAATCGAGCAAGCAAAGAGGATTTACGTCACTAAACGGGGCGCGAATACGTCGAGGCCATTTTCTTTATCAGCCATGTAGGAGTCCCTTATCATCATACACGAAAAAAAATACAGGTGTGTGTAGATGCGTGATTGACGTACGTGTGTGTAAATCCGTATCACTGGGAATCTACGCGAAAATGATGTCTTATTTACGCCTGTTGACATCATGCAGTTCAAAGTATACTGATATATATGGTGTCGTAAAATTATCGAATGTTCTTTTCAGTATAACTTTTCTGATCTATATAGAGGTTTTTTGTATTAATGAAGATATCGATATTCTTACTGCTTTCCAATTTTAATTGTTGCATATTGCTATAATTAAATTTAAATTAAAATTTTATTAAAATTGAAAAAATAGATTCTTTTCAATTAAGTGTTTAAAGAATTATACGATTTTAGCTTGAAATGATAGTTTAGCATTGTACTGTTCTTTTACAATAACAGATTAAAGAAATTTCTCAAGACGCAACACAACAGATAATGATAGCGCTAAGTTCTTAGATCTTATTGAATACTAAGAAGTCAATAAAACTTTATTGCAATTTGTCATCGTTTTGTAATCAAGTATAGTGCACGCTCGTGCACTAAAATGGCGAACATAGAAGTCCTTTATGGTATGTGTTTAAATGACTCGACGGTGATGTCTCACGTCCACAAGGCGTGCAAAGATGAAGAAGGTTTTACAGCGCAATTACTGAAATTTACAACGAGACAGAACTGTCTCAATTTTAACGTCGACGGGATTAACATCGCGCTACAACCGCGTTGTGCAAATACAAGTTTCATGTTCATTGTTTTCGTTGCAAATATAGTGCGCCCGTTTGTCGTAATATATCCGAAAAATAGATTCTAGAGAACGAAGATATTTACAATACTTACAATGACTTCAACAACATTTCAACAAATAAAATAGTTTGAAAAAATATTTTTAAAATGTCGGAATTATTATTATTATCTAAAAATCATCTATCCTCAAACAGAAAAAATGAGATACGTAATAACGATACGATTATAGTGATGTTTGCATTTCTGCAATGTATAATGACGAGATCGAAATTTTTTATTTCAATATTTGTATATCCAACATTCGACCTGTACGAATGGAACATCACAAGACCTTGAAAAAATGATTTATATCGCATTCGGAACCAAAACTCGTGACACTTTTTCCAAACTATCTTTGATGATAACGAATTTTTACAAGAGATTTCATTAGTAAAATCCATTATAATATTATATAATATATACTGTTAGAAATGTAACCACGAGTTTCCTTTACATGTAAATGAAGCTCATGGTTATGAACGAAATTAAAAGTAATGAATAATTTAACTGAAAATTAAGTTACAGTAGTTACTTAAATGTAATAAACATATAAATTAAATTTTATAAATTTTCAAATACATTATAAATATATTTATGAAAAATACATTAAATTTCATGTACATGTACACAAATATATATTATATACTTTTCAGTTATAAATACATTAAATTTAATGTAATATCATAAAATTAAGGTCAAATTGTGTAACTTAAAAAAGTATATTAAATTTCATGAAATTTTTAACAATGCTTTGTATATTATGTGTTCATTCTTATTATAAATAATTCAAATTTACACAATATTATATTAAGTCTAGATGAAAATACGTGAAATATTTCTCAAATTAATTTCAAGTGAATTTCTTAAAGCTTTTTGATAAAGTTTTAATTTCGTGCTTAGTGATTCCTTATTCAATAGTACGAATTAGGAAAACGCTAGAAAATTACAGAGAGAATTTTATCAAATAAATATTTTACGCGTAAGTACTTCACATTTGCCAAAAGATAAGAGAAGAGACAGATCGTAAGATAGTGTTGAACTTTTAAAGTTTAAAGTATTTTCTTCTGGTTACCGTTTTTGACTGATCAAAAAATGTTTAACTGTTCAAATAAGCAAGAAAGTGAAGAATCCTGATTGTCACTATTTTCTTATATATTTCACGTGATGCGTGAATGATGCGGTATTTTTTAAAGATAAACTTTGTTTTACTTCCGAATAAATCGATACAATAATCGAGGGAAGACGTCGCCGCCGACGGTGACGGCGTGATGAAAGTCAACCGCAATGCGAGGACCAATAATTAACGTACACGACAAACAGTATTATCGTTATTGCCTGATATTATTCCCATTATCTTATATGTACGGCGGCTATGTGCTTAATGATTAATAAAATATTATCTGCGCTCAGAGTATATCTCTTTCTTCCTGGCGACAAATAGTTTCGTGCCAGACACCGCGAGAAGCACCGATGCCGATGTCGCGCAATCTGTGATCTACAGGTGAATATAAACCTAAAGTCTATCGTATTCGAAAATAGAACATATCGCGAACGTAATTCGAAAAAAAGACATGCGCAAAATAAAAAGACTATTCTATGGATATGTGTGAAGCTGACTTTAGTGGCTTTCGAGACATGTTATGGTTGATGTAAATTTGAAAAATTCTCCTAAATATTTGCAGCCCGAAATTTAAGGGAAATAAAGTTAGAAGTCAATGAATATATACCGAGCATGTGATATCGTGAGTGGTAATTGGAAAAAAAAATTAGACAATATCTGAAACAGTAGGTGCGACAAAAATATAATATAAATATAGAAACATAAGTGCAAAATGGAAATATGAGAAATTAAATGAATAATATGTGGAATTTCATAAAGAAAGTGCACATCTTGAACATGCACATCTTTAGCTTAGTAAGAAGGTCCGACCATCGAAATCTTCCGTCGTGAGTACGTACCGTCGGAATAACAACATTATCGATTAATATTTATATCGACGATATTTTTGCAACCGAGCAATTTAGACACCGTCCCATTTGGGATGTGCCTCGCTCATCGTAAACCAGACACAGGTGAATTAATTAAACATTAAAATAATTAATATGCTGTAAGTGAGAATGCTCAAAGATCTGCAAATATTCCCGATCGCACTTGTATATGTTGAATATATTATGTGTAACTTAATGAGCTCATATGCAATTTCAACGATTCGTGATGGTAATATTGTTCGCACCGGGCGCACATGCGATGCGTTGTTGAATGGTAAAACAGATGAATCGACATAACACCAAGGTGAACCACCGAGACTTTGAGGAAGAGAAAAATGAGAGAAAATCTGCGAGAGAGAGAGAGGGGGGGAGGGAGAGGGAGGGAGAGAGAGAGAGAGAGTGAGAGAAAGAGGAAAAAAAAGAAAGACGGATGAATCGAATCGGTAAGGACTGTGTCTAGATTTCGACGACGAGATCGATGAGGAGGAGGAAGCGGGCCGCGTACAAAACACAAGTGTCGGAACGGGCCGAACATAAAACACAAGTGTTCCTTTCGTGTACGGCGTTACTGGCGTTACGGATGTTCGCTTTCGTTTGGCTCCTTCTCGCATGTGTTTCTTTCTCTCTCTTTTAATAAGTGATAAAATCGCGTTAGACGATCCGCTGCTCCTGATTTAATAGCCTGAATCCCCATAAGTGTTTCTACGTATATATATATATTTTGCTTGCATGTATCAAAAATGAAATTATAAAGTACGAACCTTGAACTTTATTAGGCTTTAATGTCTTTTTTAAATATATTTCAATAACATTTGTTGCAGTCATTTTTATATTGAAACTGTTAAATTGTGTTGAATTATGATGGTAATGTATATCTATGTATAATTCTATGATATTAAATTTATATTAATATTAATTAAAAAACTTTTTTACATCATAAAGTTAATGATCGCTTAAAATATTAAACCCTTTCATTTATTACAGATACACGTGAGAGAAGACTGTCGCTAAAAAAATATTAACTATTTCATTTATCTAATGATTAATTTTAATCATTAATATGTCGTAATTTGAATTATTCCCAAATCATCTATTAATTATATAAATAAAAATTTATTTAACATTGAGGTCATGATTTGTTTACTAACTCGCTGTAAACCCGGCATTGCATTGCCGGTTTCTGACAACGGACGAAATCGATATACGGCCGAAAGGTCGCGAACGGAACGATAAGGGGTTTTAACTTACAAATCAAACGGAAGAGAAAGATGAGGCAGAAGAACGTCGAAGAAGAGAGCGGCTACGTGGAGAACTTTCCTCTTGGACTCTACTCTGTACTCGACGCTCCACGACGTGCTCCGACGTTCTTGGAGCTCGCTCCTCGTCGTTACTGCGTCTACGAGTGAGTTTGTGAGCGAGACACGCATGCGGCGCGCGCTTGACACAGGTGCGCTTCCACGAGGAGAGCGAGGAGGCCTGCTACTCTTCGCCGTCGTGCTCGTCGTCGAGTTGGAACTGCCGCCTGGTAGCGCGAGATCAAAGCTTCGATTTTATCCGAGAGCCGTCAAATATTAACTGATGACGATTAGAAAGCGACTGCTGCCGTCGCGCCGTGTCGTAGTGTGTCGGAATCCTTTCTGCGGACGCCATATTGGTACCGGTGCGGTACCGGTGCGGTGCTCGTCGCCTCTTTCGCTCTTCTACTGTGGTGGTAAGTTGCGAAAATAAAATAAAGATGGCAAATAATTTTTTTTTTTAACAATCGAGATAAATAGTCGATTAAAACAACGAAAATTTTAAAAATTGTATTTATGTAATTATCTATTTACGAATTGAGTAGAACACCTCTAATTTCTTAAGAGCAATATATTGTATTTTAAAGAAGTCCAAATCCGTATCATGTAAACAAAATAAGTTTTATTAGAAAAATTATAACTTAATTGTGTATTTTTTATAACTAAATCTGAACGTTATTATAGAATTCGAAGTCACAGTCGATTTATAATATATTACTTTTTATACTTCATATGTGCTATTTCGCATGTTTTTCGTATCAATGATATGTCTCATTTATTATTCTTCTCTTTATATTTGTTTTTTTTACATTTCGCGCAGATTATAGCTCGACCTAATTATCTTTTTATGTCCATATAATTCATCAAAGCAATTACACGATTGCCTCAATATAGATATGTCAATAAAAGTCGCTTTAGAAAGATTTAGTGTGAAATCTCTCTCAATGAATTTTTTATGAAAATTGTATAACGAGAAATAATTAAGTAAAGGAAAATGCTAATATTTGAATTAAAACATAGAACAATCTCCTAGAACAGAAAGTTTAAATATTTATCATGTTATGAAAAATCTTCGGCTTATTCATAATTTATTACTTTTATCCCAGGTTATATTTTCGTGGAGCTCCTTGACGAGGGATCGGTTTACCTTACCGTGTACACACACACAGGCATATACCTATCACAGTTATCATTTTGTTAGAAGGAGGGGAATGAAGCTTGAAGTCGGAGGGTTATAGTCATGGTTACAGAGCACACACTAGGGTACCACTGATAAGAGAATCAGGTGAGACATCGTTTTAATAAGGCAACGATCCAACGAGCATTATTGTCCCAGAAGCAACAGCGTAATGGAGATTCATGATGCATATAAGAGATATGTTGTATGATTGTTTTTAAGTTAACACAATTACAAATTATTTAATCAACAAAACCCTCCGGTAAAAATAAGTAATATATATTGAGATTTAAAGTTCATTTTTCATTAAATATTAAATTTATATTTAATGTTTAACGAAATAAATTATGTAATATTAATTTATATAATTTAAATAATGTAGAATTTATTTCATTTTTATTCGCAATGCTAATAAAAAAATGATATGTATTTTTTAATTACAACAACGTGAATGTTGTAACAAAATACTATAGTAAAACCAGTAAAAATCCGTATCTTTATTTATATAGATACGGATCATTGCGATTTTTATTGTATTTTGAATTAGTTAAGGATGGCTCAATAATAGAACAGAAACGTGCAGTTGTCAAATTCCGTGACTTGACATTCATGTCATTGTAATTAAAATATATCATTTTTCATTAGCATTGCGTATTCCATGTTGAGGTCCACTGCCCTTTTTTTTAAATTAAAAATGAAACGAATAAACAACTTTATAATTTTAAACAATATCTAATTATTCTCTCTAAAACTTTGGTGAATTCTAATGTCGACTACGCCATTGCAAACAAGAGAGGGTATATGTAGCGACAAAGATTAGCCGAGACATTGCATTATCGTCGAAAATACACAAGGATGAACTTTCTTTCGGCCGTTCACTGACTCCTCGTCTATCATCAACTGTATGTTTTTGTGAATATTATGGAGGACCTATATTAAACGTATATTTGTATGTGTAATTTAAATAATCTATTTCGATAATTCTAAAAAAAACATCATCTTTTAAATAACGCAATGAATGCATTATTTATGAAAAAAATGTAAATTGTACGCTTCATGTACATGTTACATGATTACATACCTAAAAACAGTAATGCGCATTGGATCAATCTTTTGCAATTTATTATAGAATGCACATAGAATATTATACTTTTCTTGTTATAATTTACGTTATAATTTTTAATTGTATTATGTTATAATTTTTCTGATAATTTAAGTCAGAGCCTTTCAACTCGCGCACAAAACGAATTTTTGTCGCACGGTGCACGAGTTGAAAAGCTCTTATTTAAGTTTTTAAAAATAATTAACTTACCTTCAGATTTAAGATAAGACACATAATTATATAAATTATAAATTAAAAAAATAAATGTTCGTTTAAAATATCCCATTTTATTTAGAAATAATCTAATATCTCAATACACAATATTCTAAAAGTATATTATGCGAAACATATTGACGTAAATACTTGCTAAAACTCGTTATTATAAAAAGACAAAAATATGTCATAATTATTGAATATATTTATTCGCATAACCGTCAGATATGTTTACTCATATAATATACACCATTGTTGCTATATATTTATTATTTAATTGTATTATATTACATTATTGTTATCATTTTTATCGCTCTCGCGATAAAACGATATATTTTATGTTATACCTATTAAGAATATTATATATCCGTTCGATTAAAATATCCTTGCTTTTATGTAGTTTTATGCTGGAATAAGAACACTTACATATAATCTTATATATAATTTTACATATAAGAAAATTCCCATATACATATATATACAAATACAACAATATCATTCGTAATTTGGTCTTACTGTCTTAATTGAAATAGGATTTGTTAATAAAATCTTCTTTGGTAAAAAAAAAGAGAAAAAATTAATAAAAATAACATAAAATAAAGAAAAAAATTATTTTTTTACAAAGAAAAAAAATCTGTTTTCCTTTAGGAACTACTCTTTCTAAAGGAAAAGCTTCGATTTTCCGAAAAATTCTAAAATTCTAAAACATTCTAAAACTCTTATTTACAATAGCACTGCTTTCATATTTTCACACATTTTTAAAAGATGTATAACTTTTAATTTTGCGTATCACAATGCGTGCAGGAAAGTAAGATCAGCGAGATTGTGTGTCTCGCTGGTTAAAAAAATAAAAAGTGGGAATCGAACCCAGGTCTTTTGCTTGACAGGCACTTAATTACTTAGCTACGATTTTTTATTTATTGCCTGCCTTAACAATCCGACATCTTTCCAGACTGTGTTTAGGATGATATCGACACAACCGTAGATCTCTCGAGGTGACCATTGTCCAGCATAATTTTAGATCCGGCTGGACTAGTCGACGGACTGCCTAGAGTGACGATATGTGGCGAAGTGAGTTGATGATGATCAGGTGATTGGCCAGCTGAGACCATTCCAGGTGAGCGCGTTGCGCAAGGTGGAGATGGACATTCGATCTTTGGTGAATGGGTCTCTAGCAATTGGTGTTGTTGTTGCTGTTGCTGTGAAGTGATCAGATCGTAATACACAGGCTGATAGGGCACTAGCCTACCCGAAGACTGAGAACTACCGTAAAGATTACTTGAATATGTCATTTGCGATACGCCGGTATGAGCCATCCTCAAATCATTGTAGGTATCTACATTAACAACAAAATAATTTTTTTATAAGATTATGATATGAGTACATGTACAGTTTCATGTACAAAATTAATGTGATAAAATAAGCGAGCATATTTTATCTGGATAAGTGTTTCGCAAAAACTTTGTAAAAGAGAATTCAAGGCAGAAAAAATCTGATTAGTAAAAAATAAAAAACTGTACAACTTCTAAGTTTTTTAATAATCGAATGTTAATTAATATTACTTAATTAATAGAAATGTATGTATATACCTGGTTCAAGCTTGACGCTATTATTATTATTATTATTATTGTTTGTGCATTGCGCGACATTGCCAGAAAGAGGCGTATCGCTGCTTTTCATTCCACCCTTAGGCTTCCGTTTGCGCGTTTGAATGCTGTCTTTCTTCATAGTCGACGGCCTGTTGACGCCATGCAACTTGAAGTAAAGACCGCAGGCATTGCACACCGGTTCACCCTGTGCGTTACGACGCCATAGAGACGTCATCGTAGTTTCACAGTTGCTGCAAGAGAGACCAACGCGTCTCGTGGCAGACTAAAAAGATATAAAATTGTTATTTATACGTTATTACCTTCAGCAAAAAAGAACAAAAAATGAATAGGAATTTCGTAGCCGAGAGTCTGTTAAAGTCGTGTAATGATGGATTGTATTGCTCTTAAGAGATATACGATTATATTACAGGATTGTGAATACGAAACGTAAGAATCAATTTAATATTATGAATGATGATGAAAATATACACAAAATATGAAAAAGGTTTGTGATATAAATTTCGGAGGAAGCTAATATATCATATAAGGGTATTATCGGAAAAAATGTTTTAATATTTGAATCTTTAAGAAAAAAAACTTATGATTGTATATGTCGGATCAATCGCTTTCCCCATTGAGTCATTAAATTACGTTTTGATGCGAACTCGGGAAAGGATCAGGTTAAATTACCGTAATTATAGAAAGTTTTCTGTGCAAGGTACCGTAGAGATCGCGGAGCAGAAAAGTAAGCCACCCTCGGTCACGGAGATCACGTGAGCCTGGAAAAACTCAACAGACACAAAGAATCATTCCGTGTGATCGGAAATTGAAAGATAAAACGTACTTTACAACAGGCTGCACGTGATTTCGGGAAGGAGAGTGCTCGTACAATGGGTATAGTGGCACCTACGACTCAAATTGTTTTCTACTAGATATGCGCCACCGATGACGAAAACAGTCAAGGATGACTGTCTTCATCTCGATAATCAATAGACATTTAGTATTATGATGAATGAATTCAAAGAAAGCGTGATGTTAACGCGTAAAAATATGGGAATAAAAAAATTAAAAGGGAAAGTAGTCGGGACAGGGAGAAAATTGTCGATCCTTGACCAAAAGCAGTTTTCTAGCACTAAACTTTAATATATTTAATTTAATCGCAATATTATATTAATTTATATCATATTTATTACTGATTTTTTTGTCAAATCTTCATTTATTTATATCTACACAGTTTTTACGATACTTGATTAAAATAACATCACTTTTAAAAGTGTTAATAGTACAAACTCTACTGCTCCTCAGCCGCAATAACGAATCGACGATAATGATGATGAATTGAAGAAATATACGGTAAGAGTAATGATGAACTATGGAACAAGGAGTCCTAATGATAAGAATGGATAAAGAAAGAGAGACATCAAGACAAAATTGTTACAATTGTTACAATTGTTATTATTAGAACAAAAGAAAGGAAAAAAACAGACAGAGAGAGAGAGATAGAGAGAGAGAGAGAGAGAGAGAGAGAGAGAGAGAAAGAGACAGAGAGAGAGAGACAGAGAGAATGTTGACTTGGGAGGATGACACCTACCAAACGACGGCTCGATTTCTCCTCGAGGGCGCGACGGGTGCCACTATACCCACAGAAGTCTTTGTAGAAATTGCCCTGGTCCGCCACTGAAACAGACATGAGGCCATACGTTAGGGGTGCTTTTTTCCTGCGTGTATTAAATATACACGATGATACATCGAGTAAGAGGCGAGTTTGGCATCGCAAGGTGCCAGGAGAATTCATTTTGTCACGGTCAGAGATGCGATTACTGAACATCTCTCGGACTTACAAAAGGGCAGAACATCACGGGCGAATTTCCACATAGGCTCCTGGACAGTAACGAGAATGAGCGAGAAAGTATTCTATTGTTTATCTCTCTCTGTCTCTTTCTCTCTTATATCCCTTTCGAATGTACAGTTGCGTGCAGTATAATTCGTGAAATCAACGGTTTGCAAAATCAACCGTTTGTATCAGATTCGTCCAGTTCATGTTTTTTAATGTTTAAAAAAAAAACACTCTAATCCTTTTCTACAAATTTTATAAATAATAGCAATGAAAGTTAAACGACAAAACATAAAATACAGAGTCCCGACGTAGTAGCACTACACAGAGTCTTCAATTTTCTGAATATCGCAAATGACTTTGCCAAACCGTTTCATTCCCGAATCATGATGATGATCAACATCGCGATGGAGTTGTCGTGAAGCCTTCCTTACCAAGCGACGTGGTTGTTTAACTAATGGACGATTCATTCCGTTCATCTTATGGTAGAGACCGCATGCGTTGCAGAGGTAATGCCCGGTACCATCTCTACGCCATAAGGGTGTGGAAATCGCGCCGCAATTCACGCACTCACGGCCCTCCGTAAAGTACTCTGCTTCGATGTTGTGCACTGTGTTTCATTCACACTGAATTTCTTAGAAAGATTAGACAGGTGCATCGCACGCAATAAATATGCACACATATATAACAGCATTTATGTCAACGTTCTACTTTTCTAAAATAATTAAATAATATAATTTAATCACCTGAAGTGAAAGATATTGGCTGTGAATGTGCTATTTGTGATTTTAAAAGCATAATGTATCGTCGACTGTTAATAATATCAATTCATTTAGAAAGATTAGATTAACGCAAATGTCAACATCTACATTTTTATTTTCATACTTGTATGCAGTAAATAATAACGGTTATAATATCACCAAGTAGCTAAAACAATTATGCAATTGCAGTTAAGTACTTCATACCTGGTTACTCCATCTTACGTATCCTAACTACATAATTACTGAACTCATAAATAGATATATTTTGTGTGTGTGTGTGTGTGTGTGTGTGTGTGTGTGTATGTGTGTGTGTAATATTAATAAAAAAAAATTAATAATTTAATGGAACATATTATAGCATTAATTTGATTAAAAATAAGTATAATCAACTAAATAAAAAATTTGCCTTTACAAATAAAAATAAGAAATGTTCGAAAAAATGTATTATAAGCCTTCTCTTTGATTACATCTTTCTTTATTGAAAAAAAATTTATTTACTTTCCAAACTTTTACTACTTCCATTTCCTGTACAACAAATTTTTTTTCCCTTAAAAAAAGCAAAATGCGATATAGAATAAAATATAAAGATGCATTCTTTTCTTTTCCCTTTCGTTACATAAATCTTCTTTTTTATCAGAAAAATAAATTGCATAACATTCATGCGTGCTTCCGGTATAAAATGATACGAATTAACGATGCATTCGCGCGACCAGGTAAAAGGCACAGAACTATACATGTGTCTTTGACGGGAGCAACCATATCTACAGTGGCCTCTTTTTACGTGACCACTCGGAAACAATTGTTTCGTTAGTTCGCAACATTCCCCCACTTCCATTACGTGACTATGAATATGCATAGTTTCTCAGACCGAGCGCAACGTAGAACATAAACATATTCTAGCATACGTGAAATGTTCATTACAAAAATTTATCTACTTTTATTTTTTCCTCGACAAACAGAAAAGTGAGAATAAATTAATAAGACAATTATTTGTTATAATAAAAATAAGAATAATAATTATTATTATATTAAGAAAAAGAGATACAAGAATTTAAATTAATTTCTGTAATTTTGTAACATCTACAAAAGAATTTTCGTAAATAAAAATACATAATTACTCTCTGACAGTTTGGTATTTAAAGTTAATAAGCTATTAAGATCTTAACTTTTTAAAATTATATTACGAAAAATACTACAAAGAAAGAAATATCTTGCGACATTTATGTTTTAAAATAAATTATACTTTTATTGTATGTAATTGTTAAATATATAGTGAATTTATAAATAATATTCTTGAGGCTTCCACGGGTGCTTTCTATATAAAGATTATGCGTTTCGTGGATTTCCTCCGTATCCAGATTCATTCTTGAAATGCCAAATAAATCTTACAATGTTAATAACTATGCATAATTTCATAAGTTGTAACAGAGTATTAAGAGTGAATATGAAAATCTCGGGCAATGAAATGAAGAGCACATACGAAAAGGAGAAGGAAGGATGCAGGAAACGCAAAAGCGTCGAGGGAAGGATGGAAACGGACATGGCGTTATCAGAATTTCCGGCGTTTACTGATAATAACGCGAACCAACCTAATAGCCACGTGCGTATGTGCTACGTTAAAAAGCTCATTGCTTGTACGTATAGAATTGTGCTTATATAACAAAATTATTAATTAAAATTACTAAGCAAAAATTATATTATCCATTTAATCAAAGATTAAGATAAAATTTTCTTGAATTGGCGCTAGAAATTATTATACTTAGATCACATCATTGCTAAATGGCACTCAAAACGCTAATCCAGGTAAAATCGCGCGCTTATCCTTTCTAGGGACTAAGCGAACGCGTCACTTGACGACGGAGAAAAATAAGAGAATTCGTCTCGAGTTACTCAGTGAAAAAAAAAGAGAAGAAAAGCAAAACGGAGAAGGAGAGAACGAAGAAAGGTCGGCGTACGCGAGCAGCACATCCGGCAGAAATGCGACTGGGAAGCAATCGGATATTGTATGTAGGTAAGCAAGAAGCTGCTGATGCCATCCGAGTCCTACGAACTCTCTCAAAGCACATCACATATGTATATGGATGGGTCGAGTTGCGTTCTCGCGCCTTCGTGACGCCACCTTGACCCACAAATAGTGGACTATTAATCGTCAGTTTATTACTGTTTATTACTGCGAGAAATTACAAGCCAAAAGGAAATAGTAGGCGATGATGCCATTTTCTATGCAACGGCACTATATTATAATTATAATTTCATTGTATGTATAAATATCATTTAGAATGTCAGTGAAAATTATTTTTACGCACATATTTTATACTATTTTATACATTTAAGGAAAAAAATGAATGTTTCTTTCCTTCGTGTTTTTCTGGATCAAAATATAAATCAAAATTAAGATCGAGATATCTTATTGCTCGAATCGTTTCATGGTGTCCATAACGCGATACGTAGTTTTCGAAGTAGAGAAGCGTCCGTAACTAGATATGAAAGGACGCAGGGGGAAGAGTCAGGGAATTAAAATGCAGATATTGAGTTACCGAACTGACGACGAGGACGAAGAGGTCAGAGGACACGAGAATCTTCTAAGGGCGAAATCAGACTGGGAAGCAATCGGATATTATGTAAGCAAGAAGTAGCTGATGTAGCTAGGTATCCTGTATAGAGGCCTCACTACGTTAGAGGTACGTACAAGGGTTTACGTTGCACTTTCGCATCCGAACGACGCCGTTGCATTCCGACCTTCGTGACACTTTATCCTCGAGTATACATCGCGAAAAAGAAAACTGTAAATCGCGACGATATTAAACAAAAAAAAAAAAGAATAGAAAAAATAACGAAGGTAGTAAATGTATAGGAAAAAGTAATAAAAGTAACACTAACATAACGCACGTTTTTTTTATATCGCAGATTAAATAATAAATCAAATTATGGCACGTTATTTCTTGTAGTATTCCAGCGAACTTAATTTCACAGTTAGACGCTTATACCTCGGCGCGATAATAACTATGTTATCGTCGCATTAACATTCTTGTTCACCTGTGCTTTTGTTTCCTTTGACTGCTCTAATCTGCCCTCGGCTTTGCAATACTTATCATTTCATAGAGAAAGCTCAACAATTATATGGCGTGCAGCATATAATATTTGCATGACCATTCGTGTCAGATGTGCAAGTATTACGCGCATTACAATTAGCATTATTTGTGACTCCGACTTTTCTATCTTTTTCAATCAATTATTATAAAATGTGTTTAAAAGCTAAAGATTAAAAATTAATTTTCTATCGCTAATTTTCTAAATTAGTATTCAGTCATCAATGTTTATACGTATAATTTCGTTTTAAGTAGAAATTAGTGGTAAATAAGATCTGCATCAATTTTGAATAAAATAGCCAAAATATATAAAAAAAGTGAGTTGTGGGCGTATGATCTAGTACTGATCTAGAAGAAAGTTTTTGGATCAACCGGATTAATTTAGGGATGGCCACGTGCGCGATCCTTCAGGATGATGCACGGCTCTTACGGTACTCTTGCATCGATATACATATACGATGTATACGAAAGTATATACCGAGAGAAATAGAGTTCTCCTATAGGTAGGAGGAGATAGATGTCTGGCACGGTTAAACTTAAATCATAGCCAGCATGATGAACTCGCGGATGAAACACTCGAGGTCGCGGTATGTTAAAAGGAGCGTCTCGTTGCCGGTCTGCTAGAACGAAGTCCGGATGGTGTGGCATGTGTAACCGCAAGCTTTAGCCCCTGAAGAACCACTTAAACTCTCTAAAACTTTCCCTCTCCGGCTGATACATCCTTCAGAAATGCATTTTTTCCCTTTCTATTTTTTTCTCTTGATAATATCTCAATTATTTTAATTTTTATTACATATATCTAATTATAATATGGCTAAAAAATAATAATATAGGGTAATCTAAAAGTCGAAATACAAAATAGCGTTTCGAGCGTCTTAAACAGAAAAAAAGCAGAAGGAAAAAGGTTTGAAAAAACGATTATATATAACGATTATTTATATAAAATATGCCATTAAAAACGCGAAATATTCGGTTAATTTTTTTACACGATATTTAATATAAGCGGTATGAGAACTTTTCAAAATGCTCGAAATATTTCTTCGCAATTTTTAAATTTATTAAAAGAAAAAAATCCAATTAAAATTATAATGGAAAACGCTCCAAAAATTAATGCAGATATTTGTAGTGGAAAAAATATTTAATGGAGACCGTCTTAAGATTCGACAAGATATTTTTTCAACTTCAATTCATTGCTTTCTCAGCATGACGAACTTTTATGTCAGACGGATAAAGAAGTCCGGTCGACCTCCGTGAACCTTGAGGAGGCACATTTATCTTGGTGTCATTATTAGTATCTAAAATAAATGATCGAGACGCGTTGGTTTAACGTTCAATGTACTTGTTATCAATGGAGTGAGTCTTTATTGCCGAAAATGTGGACAGAAGAAAGAGAGCAAGTTGGGGGCGCAGGAGGTGAAGCGCATCGCAAGTAACGAGTTGCGTGCCATATCAACTTCGGTCGTGAACTTGAACTTGCATAAGAATTAAAATTAATTGCAGACGACACCGAGGAGGTATTTAAAAAAAGTTTTATGTCTTAATCCACTTATCGAGCTTATCCTCTACGTGACATGCCTCACGAACGTGATATTACATTGCCATAAATCTTCGATCGACTTAAGAACATTGTGATTTTAATTTACATCAGATATATCCTTCTCTCCGGTTGTACTATTTAGTGGATATCTTATGATGTCGTATTTTCGAAAATAGCTGTATACTGATAAACTTCTCGAACTTGCTTTCAATTGTAATTCAACTGATGTTTACGATTTCGCATAATCTCAAAGTATATCGGTTAAACGAAAAACTACAAAATTCCGCTGAAAGATTACAACATTTAATTATCCCGAAAAAAACTTATATGATTTAGGATTATGTAGACTTTCATTCCTAAGTCGAATATGATATGAGTTAGACCGCGTTTTATTACTGGCTAGTATTCGATTAGATACCTGTATGTGTGTTAACACCTGAAAATTATCGTAAATTGACGCGCATCTGTTAGATACAGCCCTATCGTTTCCTCTATATCGCGCGATACAACTAGATTAGACCTAAGCATTCATGTAACCTAGGTCATGGTCATATCAATGCCTTCTTCGATAGTCGTGGCGAAAACAGGTGTCGCCTACCTACCGTGTATGATGACATAAAGATACATTAGGACGACTCTTTCACGGCTATGAAGCCCGAAATCGTAGACGATAAAGAATTCGAAATGGCGACGGGAATCGGCTTCTAGGAAGCGAAAGAATGCTTCACGGTAATTACTGCGGTGAATCATCGCTTTCGAGAAAATAGCAGGTACATTCTTCTAAAATGTCCCAAATAAATATTTCCAAAAAAATACCTAAGTTTTTAGGATGAAAGATCGAAATAAAGTTTTTGTATTTTTTTTTTTTTTTTAATTAAGATGAATTAATATAAACGAATTGCAAAATTATTGCAAAATAAGAATTATATATTTATGTAAAATAATAAATAATTATTTCCTCTCTTTAATGAAAATGTGTTGGATCCTGTATAATGCATAACTTAAATTAGCGAGATCGTAAAGAGTATTATAAAATGCGTATGACCGATTGTGTGTTGGAAAAGAGTTCATTGGTATTTATTAGTTAATCTGCTCCCGACAGGCCAATAAAACATAACAAAACCGCGAATTCATATCGCGGATTCTCGTTTACAAAGTCGACATGTCAGTGGTCAGCAGGCAGTGACCCATACGAAAGATAAATTTTTTAGTCTCTCCCGATAACGATGGAAATTCATAAGATACGCACCATCTATCCTATCGATCATCCAATATTCATTTAACAGCACTCGTAAATAGTTATGCTGGCTAAAAAAGTCGCACAAGAAATATTGCTCCCTGGGATGCTGTCGAGTAAGGGGATCCTGAAACACGATCTTTGAGTGGTTTTGCTGGAACAGCCCTAATTTAGTACCGTGAACGAATTAGTCACAACTATGCGATTATCCGTGTCACCCAAGCCGATCTCGCCTCCATACCGAATTTTCCACGTCTAAGCGAAGCATCGAATCCTTTTCTCAGTTATTTATGACCACTGTAATGCGATCAGTGCGACAGCTTAAATTACTGCCAATTCATCATTCGCGGAGAAGCAATACTTCGCTGTCCGGAATCGTACAAATTATTTAAAAAATCCTATAGAATGGATTTTGGTTAAAGAACAACATCTTTATATCGTCCGAGAAATCTACAACCGACGGTTGTAGAAAATAATTCCTCAATTGCGAGTGAGAAAATAATAATATAAAAATAGAATTTTCCTTTTCCCTCTTATCTTTTTAATCGATCGTGTAATTTTTGGAAAGAGCGAATTTGACATGTTACATCAAGTATGGAATTCGAGATGAGTCCGAAGGAGCATGTATGTCTACACGCAACACGCCCACCGATCACGATTGACGATATCCATGTCGCTGCACGTCGATGCAACGCGGGATGCCACCTCGTGTCGTTTAGCGCCGGCGCTCATTTATTCCTGTACAATCGCAGATGCGCGCGACGAAAAATCGTCGTATCAAAGGACACCGCCCACTTCAGAAACGTACGATAGGCGCGCCGACGCATGCGACCAGAGGAGTCTCTGGTTCCTCAAGGACCTCCTCGAATGAGGGTTGCTTACAGATCAGTCACTTCCAACTGCCTGTATCCATGTTACCCTGCACTTTGCGGTTTCATATTTCGAACTGCTATATGAGTTTAGAAATTAGTGGAAAAAAATGTCGAATTGGACATTGGAAAAATAAAGAAGAAGAATTTTAATTAATGAAGCTCCACTCCCCACAAAGTACCCATCATGTTATTCAAAATCAGAGAATACATGCTATTTATGTTCAGAAACGCACATAAATAAACTTTGTAAGCAATGATCGATAAATATTAGTAAACACGCACATTTTCAAAAGTGTATCAACTCTATAAATAATATTAAATTGCCAACAAAATGTCTTCGATCTAAAAAAAAATTTTAATTTTTCTAAAGCTTTATAAACACTAAATTAATATCTTACACGATAGAAAATAAAGATTCCAATTGAACATTATCAAAGTGTTGAAGCTGCACGTGAATAAATCTCAAAATACTGAAGTCGTGATAATTAATAAATTACGAAGAATGTTTCTCATTAAATTCTACAGATCAAATAAAATGGCCAACACACGTTCATGTTATCGCAACGATATTCGTCGATTTTTGCCGGATTTTATTGACGGAGACACGAATCCTGCGATTTGACAATCTAAATCGTGAGAATATACGGCGATCACTACTAATATCGATGCGACGAATTTCAGAAGCTGACCAATTATAAAAGAATTTATTATCATCAGATATATTTAATAAGAATTTTTCATGTTTTCTTTCAGTAACAGCATTAAAATGAAAAGAATGAAATTATCAACTTGTATGTATACGATGACATTTTTTAAATGCGTAGTATGTTGCATAGTATGTTTCTTATTAACTCTTTTAATGACTGATCTTGATAATCAATTATAATTATCTCTTTAATTATAATATATTTGCAAGAAAGTCAATTTTTTACTTTTAAAATTATAATAAATAGAGTAGTTTTTTTTCATAAACATGCATTTTTATTGAGAAGAAAGAGCCTTAATAATTTTCATTTATTTCTGTTTCTAAGGATTAAGCATTAAAGAATTTATTTTTATAATTTAACTCTAATTTTTAATTATACTGAATTCCACTCAATAATAGAAATAACACTATTCTACATCGTTTGATTAATGAAAAAAATACTTACTTGCAGTTAAACTTGCGGCAGCACTGATTTGCGTCGGTGCTGTTGCTGGATTAACAGTCTGCCGTCTCGACGGTGTGCCATATTGCGTCGTTAAAGCGTCGGTCGTAGGTGATGCATACGTCCAAGAAGCTTCTACGGCGGAGACAGCGGCGTTCCCAGTGGTATTCTGTTGAGAGGACGAATACGGTGGACTGTAACCACGGAAATTCGACCGAGTGCCGAAAGGTGTTTGCGAAAACGCCGGTAGAGATTGATGTGACACCGTGCTCGAAGATTTGCTACCGTAATCTTCAGGCATGGACAGCCCGCTCAGACCTGTAACTGTCAACGAAAATATATTATGAAAAAGAAACTTCAGAATTTACAAACTTCATCCTTTTAGGAATTCACAGTTTTTGCGCAGATTAAAACATCATGTTTAAGAAACATTCTAAAAGCTTCTTGATTCACGACATTATTCATTAACATTATTATTCACGAACGTTATAAACGTCATCCATCTTATACGTGCGCGTCAGAAACTTATCTAGACGAACCGACGCGACGTAAGCATTACCTGATGATTAATTATTTTTATGGCCGATACCTACCCTGAGCATTCCAAAGTTGAGACGACGGTGTCATTTCAGTGGGGCTGCTCGTCATGTAAGGAAGGGTATAGGTTCCTCCGGTTCCAGCCACAGTACCCATCGCACCCACGCCACTCATCGGTCGATATAACGAAGAACTATAACAGCAAAACTTACATATATATATATATATATATATTGGAACGTAGAAAATGATGCTCCATATTATTTGATTAGTCTAATAAAATATCATTTCTCTAGCAACGTTAATAGAGTAATATAAATCGTTTATTCAGAGAGAGAGAGAGAGAGAGAGAGAGAGAGAGAGAGAGTTTGTTTAAGAAAACAAAAACATATATGAACTGACTTGATATATTTGTAGCATCATCATTTCGCTTGAAAAAGCTTATCATAAAATCTTGTAACTGTTCATGCCCGATACATCTTATATATACGATATTAGAGTAGTGACAAAATTAATAATAATTGAAATTGTGACAAAATTGCATCTTTCTCTTCGGCATTGCTGCTTCTTTCGCACCGCGATGTTTATGTTAAATTCAGGTAATGATATTTAAAGATAATTGAGTTGTTTTCGCAATTTAAGAGTGAAACTGAATATATACATATAATTATTAACTCTTTCGCTGCAGGAAATTTCTGTGCAAAGGCGCACTGCAGGTGGTAGACACTCGGCAGTGACCGACGCTGTAGATGGCCACACATCTTGCCAGCATATATTTTTCAGAAAACATAGTAGTTGAAACACTGAATTGTTTTACTTTACTATTTCAACGAAGAAAATATTTTGATCGATTCTTATTTTTTATACAAGTTAATATAAACATTAAACATAAAAACGTTGACAAAATAAATGTTGAAAGCTTAGAATGAAATATATCTATCCATAGAAAGCAACGTTCAGTCCAATGTCATAGGCATATAAAATCACCGAACTCAATTAGGTGTCCGTTAGACGCTAATAGTAATGAAAAGGTTATAAATAAAAACAGCGTGAATCGCGATTCGTGTGCTTCGTATTTCACTCATAGATCACGTTTCGCGAATAACGCGAATACGCCCCTACCCATGGGATATGTAGATCACGAGTGGCGGAGTGTATCTCGTGAATCGATCGTTCGGATCAATCGTTCGACCCTAGAGAATTACTCTTATTTTTATTACAGATCACATATACTTGACTCTAGATCGCGTACACTTATAAATCAATCACAAACTTATAATCTATTGACATTTTTTAAACTTCGTGCTAACATTGAAAAGAGACGAATTCTAAACAGAAAAGTATAAAGATAAAAAATAAATAATTAACACGAAGAATATTTAATTACTATACGGTTGTAATAAGAAAAAAGGCATAAAGAATTCCCCACTTATGCAACTAATTCATGTAAACATATCGTTGTAACCGATAACAGGACTATCGTATTATTATCACGCATAACATTATACATACATTGGAAAAATTCACTGTTCCGTGTCGGAAAGACCGGAAAGTAACCGTCGCGGGAGAGCGGAAACCGTGGTTTGAGTCATATAATGCGGGCGCAGGCGCGTGCCCGAACCAAAGAACGGAAGAAAACACCCCTTCGGCCTCCCTTCGTGTCTCCTACTTGTACGGATGACCCTCATCATATGAAAGTCCGGAACGACATGGCTACTCCATTACCATTGCCATTACCATTACGAGTTGTTTATACCTGGTTTCGGCTCGACGGCCACTTGAGGAGCGCAGCAGGATTCTACCTGAACTTGAACCTGAATAGAATAACATAACGAGTCTCTAGACATTTGGCATGACGAGCGAATTATGTGTCTCCACTTAAGCATTTTTTACAGTAACACCTACTTCGGCGAGGAATGCTCTTCGAGATAATAAATCTTCTGGATGTCATTTTTCGAGAGATTTTTTAAAAATTCCGATTGTTACGGTAGCCAAGGATAACAACCGTGTACGAATAGAAATCGGTAATATTTATTTGTGATTCCACGAAAATTATAACAATTACCTATATTTATACATTGAGAAACGTTTTTCATTTACATTTCCCACGAAAATAATTAGAAAAATTATTTTTTATCCGTTTTTTTTTTTTTTGCCTTTTGATTATGTAGCATGCAATTACATATTTTGAAATACGATTATTCATAATCGTTATTGATTTTAATATAAATTAATCTATTTGGAAAAAAAAAAAAAAAACAAAAATGAAGGTAGACTCCTTCTTTTGTCTAACGATAAATCTTTTTCTGGCAGAGAGTCTTTTATTTATACGTACAATAATGCGCAAAAAGCCGTCGGTGCGCTTTGTCGTGCATGCCACGCGCGCATCGCGCACGTGCATTTTATCTCCGAGCGTATTAACGTGTCCCAAACAAGGTAAAGAAGCGACCGGCGTAAAACAAACTAAAGCATCGCTGTACGCTCGCAGTGATGTCAATACGGATGCGGCCTTGAGCAGTCGCGCGGTGGCCCGGGCACGTTTCTGCGTACCGGTACGTGTCCGGAGATACCTTTGCGATCGCTCTCGCGATGTCGACGATTACCGCCGAGATACTTCTCACGTGGTAGCCTCCAAACTCACCGCCGCGCCGATCGACGAAGAAAGATAGGAACACCGATAAGCGCGTGCAATTTCCTCAAAAATTAAACGTAAAGCGAGATTTGCGATATGTGTCATTTGTGATATGTTAAATGTTAGAATCGAGATACAGAGGGCAAAGATATATAATGAAATTATTCGAAATATTTGAAATATGACATATATTGATAAAATTTAATAATATAAATCGAATGTATTTCATACGTATATATAATATATCATGTGACGCACACATAGCTTAAATTGTAAAAAGAAAATTTTAGAGAAATACAAACTTTATTTAAATATTGGCATGTAATATACATCTAGCAATGTTCTTGTGTGAACAGAATTTATTAATTAATTTAATTCTTCATGTTAATTTTCTATTATAACTTGGTATTCTGTATTGTACACGGATACTTATAACATGCATGTTATTCGCACGTGAATGCTAGACGAAAACCGCGACTCGCATGCAAAAACGCATATTCAGCATATTACTCTTGATTGCCAGAAGAGTTGTGACGAATATAAAATTTGCAGGCTAACAGTGAACTCGACACCCAATGTGGCCCGACCTTTCAGGAAATTTGCTTAGACGATTTATATTTACATAATGTTAAGGTAGGTTATGATACGAAACGATATTGATATCGACGACGATGAAAATGAAAATATTTTTAACGATACAAAAGAAGACAGACATACATTTCTGAATAAATTGCAAAATGAAGGAAGGAGGGTAAAAAATAATTTGTAAATAGAATTTAAATTTTTTTTTTCAATCAGCACACAACAAATTTTCTTCTAGTAACATTCCATAAAAAAGTAATTTCCGTAAAAAAAGTAATAAAATTTTCAAGTCGATTGTATCGAAGAAAAAAAATTCTTATGTCGAAAAATAAAATTTATCCTTATTTGCATTTCCGATCGCAAGTAGGAGTTGGACTCGCGATAAACTCTCTCTCGCGTGCATTTTACATCGGTAATGTAAATACCGGTGGATGAGAGTCGTCTAACGGTTTCGATTGTCTTAGGATATGTCGTACGTCTGACACGAGCTCGGCGGGCACGAGGATGCGTCTTAAGTGCATCGGTTAAGTGCGATGGAACGTCCGATGCAATACGAGTGCATCAGGAGTGAGACCGTTCTCCAGTGAAACTGGTTGCTCGTATCCTGGATGGTTGGCTGTGTCCATCACCAGGTGCAATCGGGCACTTTGTAAACCACTAATACGAGAGGAAATGGTATTAAATGGGCACGCGCTGCGTGCAATTGCACACCCGGTGCAACGATGCGCACGATCCGTCTCGCTAATGCGTTTCGCAATGTAAACGACCGATGGTGGCGAGCTGGAAGGCGACCTTCCTTCGACAAACCATGAAAGGTTGCAGAAAAATAGCGAAAAAATACACAATGCGTCCCAAGTTCTACATTCAAATATTGATTAAGTCCTAAATAAATAAAATTACAATTCTGAACTCTCTGAAAAATATAACGTATAGTTTATAAAAGATTAGAAAAAAAAAAATTAAAATATTTATTATAGTAACGAAATTTTGAAATTTTTCATATATTCTAATTATTCAGAGCACCAATTAATGTAATATTAAAAATAAATATTCTAAACACATTGAAAGAGATAAACAAAGAATACAATAAATTTATATTTGTTCATCCTATGAACAAATGAAGAGAGTGTTTCCTGTGGCCTATAGTTTGCTCTTGACAAACACGAATGTTCAATGACGTAACATCATTCCTAAGAGGAATCGAGGGCGATTTTATGGTCAGTGCGTGGATGTATGTGTACGCGCATGTTCTATGCGTAACGGTTGCACGAGAAGCTCAATAGCAGATCTCGGGTTTCTTCTAAGAATCCCCGTCGTACTTTTAATTACTACCGCCGCGCACCGCACCGCCTGTAGTAATCTCGAACTCTTCCTCCTACAACTCTTCCTTCAAGTATAATAACCGATAATTATTTAGATAATCCATAAAAAAATGTTAATGAAATCGGTTCAGATAAGAAGTTCTAATATTAACGACAAATAACAAATGCGAATTATGACATAATTTGATAACATGTTTTATACTTATGCGGATGTATAGAAATTATTCAACATTAAAGTGGATGATAATATGAGTATTTTCATGAATTAATTTCAGTGTTTTTTTCATTGTTTTTCATTCAACGTTCGATGGGGAATTCCAGATTAACTTGTCGGAATTACAATGCGTGTATGCGTGACAAGTTTATTTAATAAACAAAAGATAATCGACATAATACGCATACTATTTGCCACCGGAGAAAGACGAGGGTTCCGCACGGTTGGTGAGGAGTGCGAATTTTGCGAAATCCAATATAGCGAGTTTAATGTCAACGGGGTTATAGCCCTGCTGCCGTAGGACTATCTGAATCCACCGAGCTGATAAGACGCTTCTCACGATGGCTCGCGGAAGAAGGCGGGGTAAACGTAAAGATGAGAATGATAAGCTTACTGATCAAGTACATATTTATATATGCGTTACTCAAAGATAAAAAATGCAT